TCTATATAATAATTATAGGTGATAGATATGTTGTAGATACAAACCATCTGTGACAAAGATATTGCATTAACCCATAGTGAGGATACAAAATGTGGGTAATATGTTGGATGCCCTCAGCATCACCACTGAATGGTAGTACAACTGTGATAATGACTTAATTAGTGTGAAAATCATATTCAGAGGTATGGGAGGTTTGTATTAGGCTAAACAGAGAATATTGACATGATTTACACAATAAAACAGGCTGACAGGTGTGGTATATATTATGAAAGTACACAGGGAAGGCTAAGGGTTGAATGAATCACTAAAAAACAGCAATAGTTTAATTGCAAGTGATATTGCATTTCTTAGAGCAGATTGCATCTTCTTTGTTTATGTACGACAACAAAATAATTCACACAAACAATGAATATGAAACTTATAAATAGTTTGCATAGAGGCACTGCTGAGAAATAACTGAATATACAGAAAGAAAATAAATGAAGTAAACAGAAGACACAGCACACTTCTTTGGTTAAACCTAGTTTGCTGACAGTTCAAAGTCAAAGTACAATGACCACGTTTAATAAACAACAAATTGTCCTTCAATAAATACAAGAAAAACATCACTGTTCAACTTTCCAACCAAGAAGACAACAATTCAGACTTGGGTAGCTTTATATATAACCAGTCATGCGTAACGTTGTGAAGGCAGCGTTGGCCGATTTATATTGTGACTACATAAGTGTTAGCATGTACACAAATTACGATAGTATTATTTTTGCATCAACCAATTATTGTTTAATATTTGCCACTTTTTACAACTGATTTAAGCTATCTGCTACTTGATACCTGCTTTTATCATCTGGTTTTAGCGATCCTCAGTTATTTATCGAATCAAATTAACACATTGTCTTCTGAATGCATGCAAACATACCCAAAATAAATGGGAAAAAATAGGCATTCTTTGCTAACTAAAGTCTGTCAGAGATCAAATAGGTAGACAAGTTTATAATAAGCTGTCTAATCATAATTTAGTGGAATATACATCCTGACATTGTATGTTTAGACAATATTATGCCATACTGGTAATGATGATTTACCTAATACAAAATGTACACATACATTTTTGTTTTCAATGAATATAAAAATAATCTGAGGTTCAGCTCAGTAAAAGCAGAGTTTTTACAATTCTACCTATTATATTATATTATTTAGATTAACTTTATATAAAATACCAGTATTGCTTTTGAAGTCTTATTACATATTTATTTCATTGAAGTACTGTACACAAAATTAGCAGTATATACACAGTGCAGTACACAGTGTACAGGAGATAGATATGGTGCAATTACACTGCAAGTCAAAAATAGAGATGCAATGATCAAAATATATTTTGATCATATATTAATTTGTTAATCTTAATATTAATTATCATGATTTATTACATGCAGGTATTCACTGAAAGAATTTATGTCTATTACAGCATACAGGTTTTCTCCTGCTATAATTAATATATCATAGACATTGTTATCACTAATCATACAACCATAAATGGATCTTATATCTACACTGTGATGTCATCACGCTACCCAAGCTGTTATTGAATCTTAGTTTCAGCAGTGTATCATAACCATAAATGGATCTTATATCTACACTGTGATGACATCACGCTACCCAAGCTGTTATTGAATCTTAGTTTCAGCAGTGTATCATAACCATAAATGGATCTTATATCTACACTGTGATGTCATCACGCTACCCAAGCTGTTATTGAATCTTAGTTTCAGCAGTGTATCATAACCATAAATGGATCTTATATCTACACTGTGATGTCATCACGCTACCCAAGCTGTTATTGAATCTTAGTTTCAGCAGTGTATCATAACCATAAATGGATCTTATATCTACACTGTGATGTCATCACGCTACCCAAGCTGTTATTGAATCTTAGTTTCAGCAGTGTATCATAACCATAAATGGATCTTATATCTACACTGTGATGTCATCACGCTACCCAAGCTGTTATTGAATCTTAGTTTCAGCAGTGTATCATAACCATAAATGGATCTTATATCTACACTGTGATGTCATCACGCTACCCAAGCTGTTATTGAATCTTAGTTTCAGCAGTGTATCATAACCATAAATGGATCTTATATCTACACTGTGATGACATCACGCTACCCAAGCTGTTATTGAATCTTAGTTTCAGCAGTGTATCATAACCATAAATGGATCTTATATCTACACTGTAATGTCATCACACTACCCAAGCTGTCTGAGTTGTAAAGTAATCAAATGTTGAACCCTATTCTGACAATTAGTTTATAATTTGGAGCGATATTTTTTAGTAATAAATATTTTTGTCATTCAAGGTGAGCATTATATGGAATGTAAACCAGGAATAGTACTGATCCTAATGATGACCTTGAAATGACTTCATTTCATAATAACTTCCTGATGGCAGCGGTGAAGTCACGTCTTCAACATGACCTATAAGATAAAAAACATTTCCATGAGATATGATACGTATACATTATGACACACCATAGGAGTTTATCACATCTCACTGTTATGCATACTGTGATTGGTTGAGACTTGGTCACATGACACTGAATAATTAAATGGTATGTGTACAAGTGAATATTGTGACACATGTTAGGTGTATATCACATGACAAGAGAATATTATTACACTTAATAGGTGTATATTACAAGACAGGTGAATATAATTGTGACACATGTTAGGTGTATATCACATGACAAGAGAATATTATTACATGACAAGAGAATATTATTACACTTAATAGGTGTATATTTCAGGACAGGTGACTATAATTGTGACACATGTTAGGTGTATATCACATGACAAGAGAATATTATTACACTTTATAATAGGTGTATATTACAAGACAGGTGAATATAATTGTGACACATGTTAGGTGTATATCACATGACAAGAGAATATTATTACATGACAAGAGAATATTATTACACTTAATAGGTGTACATTTCAGGACAGGTGACTATAATTGTGACACATGTTAGGTGTATATCACATGACAAGAGAATATTATTACATGACAAGAGAATATTATTACACTTAATAGGTGTATATTTCAGGACAGGTGACTATAATTGTGACACGTTAGGTGTATATCACATGACAAGAGAATATTATTACACTTAATAGGTGTATATTACAGGACAGGTGACTATAATTGTGACACATGTTAGGTGTATATCACATGACAAGAGAATATTATTACACTTTATAATAGGTGTATATTACAGGACAGGTGACTATAATTGTGACACATGTTAGGTGTATATAACATGACAAGAGAATATTATTACACTTTATAATAGGTGTATATTACAAGACAGGTGACTATAATTGTGACACATGTCAGGTGTATATCACATGACAAGGGAATATTATTACACTTAATAGGTGTATATCACAGGACAGGTGACTAATTGTGACACATGTCAGGTGTATATCACATGACAAGGGAATATTATTACACTTAATAGGTGTATATTACAGGACAGGTGAATATAATTGTGACACATGTTAAGTGTATATCACATGACAAGAGAATATTATCACATGACAAAAGAATATTATTACACTTAATAGGTGTATATTACAGGACAGGTGACTATAATTGTTACACATGTTAGGTGTATATCACATAAGAGAATATTATTACACTTAATAGGTGTATATTACAAAACAGGTCAATATAATTGTGACACATGTTAGGTGTATATCACATGACAAAAGAATATAATTACACTTAATAGGTGTATATTACAGGACAGATGACTATAATTGTGACACATGTTAGGTGTATATCACATGACAAAAGAATATTATTACACTTAATAGATGTATATTACAGGACAGGTGAATATAATTGTGACACATGTTAGGTGTATATCACATGACAAAAGAATATTATTACACTTAATAGGTGTATATTACAGGACAGGTGACTATAATTGTGACACATGTTAGGTGTATATTACATGACAAAAGAATATTATTACACTTAATAGGTGTATATTACAGGACAGGTGAATATAACTGTGACACATGTTAGGTGTATATTACATGACAAAAGAATATTATTACACTTAATAGGTGTATATTACAGGACAGGTGAATATAACTGTGACACATGTTAGGTGTATATCACATGACAAAAGAATATTATTACACTTAATAGGTGTATATTACAGGACAGGTGAATATAATTGTGACACACAATAGGTGTATGTAGTTGTAAATATTCTGTGAAAGACATCTTCTTAAAGAGTGGCTGTAAATCTTGTGTTAGAATTTCATACCTGTAACTGATGATTGAGGACCCCCTCTTCTGAGCAATAATCTAACAACTTCACCTCCTCTTTTAATAATATCAATGGCTTCACTGTGTTTCATACCAGTTGTTCTGTAGCCATTGATTTCCATGATTTGATCCCCAACCTGTATACATCAAAATAGTCACTATTTTATACCATATTAACACAAGTTGACAGAGTCATCTGGAGAATTTTAATTGGTGTAATCTTCAATATAACAACATTTATCTTCTAATATAGTGACATTTGAAACTGAAAATGTCCCTACTACCAGATTCTGCCGTAAATTCGCCCATTCGAAAAAGAGCTCACCAAATATTTTTTGGGAACTTCTATTTTCATTGAAAAATCCAACTACGCTGACTTCAATGCCTGCAGTTGGGCCACCAAAGACGCAAGAAACTATAAGTTGCAGAAGGTAATCTAAAATTTTATACATTTTTTTCTTGCTGACTTAAAAAGTAGACCGCCTACAATTTCATTATAATGTCACCCAGTGTAATTTTTCTCCAAAAAAATCACATTAACAAACCTGGTATGTCAAATGCATTTTATTTTATTGGTAACGAAAGTATATTCTAAACAAAGTTTCGAATAAAAATGAACGCAACTGCATTGCGTAACAGCAAATGATCAGGGTTGCGCAATCCGGTCATGCTGCGTTTCACAATTGTTGATTATTACTCAATAGTGATTATAGTAACGTACAAAAAATAAATTCGTTGAATTGTTATGAAATGCATATAAAATTCAACTTAGTCTCATCATAAGCAAATGATTCCTGTCGCATATAAACACTCAATGCTGTCGGGTATCCGCCATATTCTTTCTCTTGCATGAGTTGACTTAATAAGTCAAATCACTAATGAGCCAATCAAAATGATGGATGGTGCCAACGCATTCAAATTACCATAGCTCATTTAACAAGCCATGCATGGCACAGTCCCCGTTAGTTATCAAATTTAAGACATAAAGTTTTGTTTATAGTAATATAGCTGGAATATAAACATGTCAGGAATATGATGATTGTTTAACATTTAAATGATTGACATTTGTATCTGATCGTCAAACGAGTATTGAGAGATATTGCTCTGGAACAGCATTAATTAAAATAAAATCAGCCATTATGAATATATGTATAATGAATATATGAAATTTGAACATAGTCAGTCAAAGCATGTCAGAGATATGGCTCTAAAAGCCCATTCATTAAAACAAAATGGCCACGAGTCAGCCATTCAGAATCCAATCTAAAATATAAAACAAATTTTTTAGCACAAAAATAGCCACCATTAGGCCACTTTGAAAAGGATCGTCAAACCAATATATCCATATATCTGTGACATGATGTATAATGAATATTAAAAATTTGAACATAATCAGTCAAAACAAGTCAGACATATGGGTCTGGAAACCCATTCATTAAAATAAAATGGCCACCGGACAGCCATTTTGAGTCTGATCTGAAAAATAAAATGACATGCGCCAGTCTGCCATTTTGAATGTTATCTGAAAAGGTTATCAAGGTCGCATAATGTCTAATGTATATATCAAGTTTGAACAAAATCCATCTGTAAACAGCCGAGAAATGCTTGATTTTTATGATTTTTTAGCACATAAATGGCCGCCATTCGGCCATCTTGAATCAGATCGTAAAACAAAATGATGTGCATCAAGGTCCTATTATGTCCAACGTATATACAAGGTTTGAACAAAATCCATCTGTAAACAGCCGGGAAATGCTTGATTTTGATGATTTTTAGTACAAAAATGGCCGCCATTCGAACATCTTGAATCAGATCGTGAAACAAATTGACGTGCATATCATGTATGATGTATGTGTGAAGTTTGATTGTGATTAGTCCAGGCATTTCTAAGATACAGGTCCGGACGCACGCACAGACGCACGCACAGACGCACGCACGCACGCACGCACGCAGGTCAAAACATAAGTCCCCGTTTTTGGACTTCTAAATATGTTAATGTTATTGAACACAACGCGGAAGAGATTTGTCGATATTGTAGTACGATCTTTCGGCTTGGATTTTGACGGGAAAAAATAGTTGTTTTCAAAAGATAAACTGAGCATTTGAAGAATAATTAAACATTGTTTACAGCTCATTGTTAAAACAAAGCTTACCCATTCATGCTAGTCACAATAAACATACTCTTGAATATAAACTTAAATAGACTCTTTTCAAGTGTCAGAAAGATTGAAATGTCTGAAAAATTACGCCAAATATTTAATAAAGAATCTTGTAGTTACATGTACCTTAATTCTTCTGTTAAATGAGGCAGCACCATCTTCTGCAATTTTCAATACAAACAATGGCATATTATTAAATTCTTTTCCTCCACGGATACTAAAGCCAAATCCTTTTGGTCCTTTATGTAATTCAACATTACAATATTCCATAGGACTGGACGGCTTCAGCTGAGAAATAAACACATAACACATCTGGTTAGCATTACAAAATACTCTGACAGGACA